TACATGGCTTCTTATGGGAATTATACATAATTTTGTCAAAATAATAAAAATAAACTTGTTTATAGCTAAATAAAGCACAAAACATAGTGTTGTATTTATTTCTAAATAAGTCTTACATATTTTAATTGATATATTATTTACTATTTATTCCTATTTAAGTTAAATGCAAGTTATTGATGATAAGTGTTGAAATTTGATGGGTAGGGCTAATTATTTTTAATTAAAGCTAAATAGGGCTGAGGGCATACTAAGTCACGGTTTGAATGAAAATATTTAGTTAGGGATTTTGCAAATTTTTATGAAAATAAAAATCAAATTGTTTATTGCTAACTAAAGCACAGAAAATACTGTTGATTATAATTATTGTAAATAAGTCTTTGTTTTAATTGCTAACTAAAGTACAGCAAATACTGTTGGTATTAATTATAAATGAGTCTTTATGTTAAACATTATTTACTATTCATTATTTAATTTTATCTAAATAAAATGAAAATTAGGTATGACCAAATTTGAAAAGGTTTGTTAAATGGTGAAATTTGGTAAGAACAGTGTTGTGATAATTTTGTATTCGACAACTACAATTTCATGATCCTGGTGGATAGTTTCTTCAGCAACAGGTTCTAGTATTTTCTTCCTTTTTTTTATTCTAACAAATTCAGTTCGGTTCAATGGTGGTTTTCGTCTTTTCCTAATACTGGACAAGTATGAAGGGAGATACATGGTATTGCTTCGTTCTTTAATCTCGGCCTTTCCCTTTTTATTTTGTTAACAGTACCATTAGTTTTTTTTTTTTTTTTTTTTTTTTTTTTTCCCGTGCTACACCCTAATCCATCTGTAGTCTGGCAGCACTGCAGCCGCGGCTTATTGTACCACCATTTGAAGGTCCTACTACGACGTGACCGGAGAGATCACTGCTTAACTGTTGCGAGTAAGTGGATGCACACTAAGCTCGGGGCTAGCCTCTCCGGCGTACCATTAGTTAAAATAGTCTCATCAAATTTTAAAATATCATCTTCTAAAAAGTGTAGCTCGCAAACAGAATCATAACTAGACAGTACTTTATCAGCCCTAGGAATCACATGCTGCCATTGTTCTAAACGTTTAGGATCCTATAAAAAAATATTTGCAATGACTAAATTGGAGTTCAATAAAGAAAAATAACAGAAGTAACATCAAAAAACATAAAAGAAGCAAATTTTCTTTTCTAGTAACTTAAATTTAATGTGTAATTATTGTTGTTTGTAAGTCAGGATTTATGACTTTATTTTTTTTTATTATAGAATTTTGTAATTAAATAAACTACACTCCGTAAGATACAAGTTGTGACTATTTTACAATAAATATATATTATTTAGAAATAAATACATTATTTTACTTACACTAGGAGCTTTAAAAAGACTTGGATTTTTATCTACTTGTTTTCTTTAATTTTATATCTGATTTATATCCCGTTTTTCAATCCGGAACGAAGCAAATCCTGCTTTGACGTTTTTTGTTACTCATTGTTACTTGTAGTCAGGTTCTTTATATCAGCTTATTTTTATTCTTTTCACTAAATTTTACAAAAATTACTTTAATTCCCATTAACTTGCATAGAAAATAGAAGTCGTTATTTTGCCACCCGCCAACTACAGTAGTTTTTTGGAACTCCATAAAAATAGGGACGGAAATTTGAAATTTGACCAATGCCGATTCGCCTCCTTATCTCTAGTCTTCATAGGTAATAATTAACAGGACAAGATTTGGTTTTTCTTGCGTTGGCAGTGACAGGTGCCTGTCAGTTGATTATTCAGCAAGAGTGCGTTTAGAAACCCCGCACGGCGCGTCTCACCACATACATTAGAATAGGGCCCAGACGCGCCGTGCGTGGTTTCTAAACGCACTCCAACGGATTATAAATTCACTAAAGGGGCAGCTATAGTAATGGGGTACCACCACTAATCTGTATTACAGATCAGTGGGTACCACGGATACAATTTAAGAACACTATAGGCGCTTTGCAGCAATTTAAAATCTGCTTCTCTTTATAAAAATATGAAAATTTCACTACTGACAGAAGGTAATATGAACTCGCGTTCAAATCAGACTCATTCAAAATTTAATCTACGAAGTGCATTTATACCATTTTATATGCCGTAACCTTATTATTATAGAAACTTATTTTGTAAAGTACGCCCTTGGAATGTGATGTTATATCCCCACTTTTTTCAATCCTCTTTTATTTAGACCATACTCACTATACCTATACTCTGTTTTTAAACTAGGAGGAGCGAATTGAAAAGACGCATTTACACAGGGAAAAGTAACTAGATTTGTTACTAAGAGCGAGTTTCGAAATATAGTCGTGTTCAAAATTTATGAAATAATTATCTTTATCGGCCTTAGTCGGTGAACGGCCAATGAGCGGTTAAGAAACAAATAAATGTCATAGAAGTAATTTTTAATTGGTCCCAGACAACGGTCGCAAATTTCACATTATTGTGATCTGAAATGTGTGTCTAAAACGAAATGTCACTGTCAAATTAAAGTCAATATGGTTGTCGATTGATGTCAGAAATACTTTTTTCTTGCTTTTGAAATCGACTTTTTGAGAATAACTATAATGGATATTAAATATTTAAGAAAATTGTTAATGGAATATCCAGATGTAGCCAGGTTAGTATAAAATATAAAGATCTGTTTACATTTTTAAGGATATATTTGTTATAGGTATAAAAAGTAAAAGTTAATCAGTGAATGACAAGTGGATCACACAGTATTCACAGTAACTGGTATCTCTTCTATGAGTAATGTGGATATTATGGCTTATTTAGTGTTAACCCATGGTTAATGCGCTAGAGGGCAAATAAAGGCATTCAAAAGTTTACAGGCCTATGAGTCAGAATTTGTTTTGAAAACTGGAACCAACATTTCCACTACATGTCAACATAAATTTTTTAAAGTGAACTATTCATACATACAGTTCATCAAATTTCTAGAGGTGTTCGACGCCCAGACAGAGAACGCGGTACGTGTGACTTAGATAGCTATTGTACAGTCTACTAAACAAGTTATTTTAAATAGTTTTTAATATTTTTAGGTAATTAAATTTTAAAAGTGTGGAATAGTTTAGGGATTAAATTGGTCTGATTGGACTTTCTTAGAACGTTTTTAAAAGCAGCTAAAGATAGTATGTAGAATTGAAAATAATTATTATGCCATAAAAGGTGTTTTGGAATTCCTTCAACCTTTTGAAATTGAGTCAGAAAATATAAATTTTATAGGATAGCGGAAAATACCTATAATTTTTTTGTAGGCCTTTGTAAATCGTGGAAATAGTTTATATTTTATTTCTACCTTATTAAGGTAAATGGTACCTATTATTAATAACGGTTGTTTCTGAAACATTACTAAAATTTTCGAAATTTTGTTTTTCTACAAAATAATAAACTATACTATTTAGAAAAAAATTTATTTCTCTTATAATTTTATAAAAAATAACAGTGGAATATTTACATTTCTTGATCTATTAAACAAAACGATAAATTATCTCGACGAATGACACCATGTTCTAGTACGGAAGCTAGCTTTACATTTTTGTTGGTGGTTTCATGGGTTTCATATCAATTTTTTGTAATTGTAGTTTACACGTACATATACCTCTTAACACTTGTTTGCTTTATTAAAAAAGTGTGTTGTTGTGATTTACGTCGAAATAAGTCAAAAACAACTTGAAACCCCATATAAAATCAAAAAGGAGGAACGGAAAAAAATTGAGCCTGTAAATGAACACAACTCAAACAAAAATAGCTATCTAATAATAAAAAAATAAAATTTGATTCTTGTGCAGCTTCATCTATATCATTAACTGTTTTTGGTTTTTAATGGTTTTTCTTGGTGATTCCGATATCTCACGGTTTATCGATTCTTTTTTTCTCTCCAGAAATGCGGACGACAGTGTTTTTAGATACTCCTGTGGCTGCAGCAACACGATCATTTACATTTTTAAATGGTATTGAAGGTGAATTAAAGTTTCCTTCTCTTCTCATAAACTCTATAACATTGGCTATTATTTCGCGAGATTGACTGTTAATCACGCGGCCTCTTAATTTGCTATTAAACTCCATACTTAGGTTCTATTAAACTGTAATGAGCAAAAAACACAAACGAAAATAAAAGAAATGTTTTAGCGAAATTTACATCTGACATTTACGTCTGAATGAAATAGTGAAATACTTGATGCGCAGAGTGTACTTTCATTGCGTAAATCCGTCGGGATGCCTGTCAGTAGTGCTTTCTCTGTCTAGCCGTCGAAAGCCTCTAGAAATTTGATGAACTGTACCTATGTATTAATTTTAAGTATTTTTAAAATATTTTTTGTGTAAGTAATGTTAACTCATTGTGCCAAATTAAGATTATCCCTAAAGTAGTAGATGGTGTTTTAAATGTTATAACAATTTTGTAGTTTTATTCTATTCTAATAAATAAAATTTGCTTGAATATTTAGTTACATTTTAATCATTTTGGTTAGAAATTCATCAATTTTTAGTTTTAAAAAATCAGTAATAAAATTATTTTTTTTCTAAATACTTCGGAATTCATCTCTTCATGGTAATCTCCCATCTTTTTACCTTCAAAAACCAATATTGAATTTTCTACAAAACCTTCAGAATCAGCATGTAAAATAATAAGGTGTCTTCCCTTTCTTGTAAGGCTTTTCAGGAATTGCTACCTTTAATATTACTCAGTGTAGAAGGATCCATAATTGTATATTTTCAATACAATTGCTTACTGAAGAACTATTATTTACGAAATAAAGTAAAAAACTATGTAATGAATGAGATATCAAATTATAAAATGTCAGAACTGTCAACAATATCAATTATTAGCTAATGTTCATGCTAAAAAGTAATGTGTGAAACTGACTGTAATCTGACCAATCAGAAGGCTACAGAATTGCCAACTTAAATTCAAATCGCTCCTCTTAGTTTAAAAACAGAGTATAGTGCATAAAGGTATAATTCTAGTGTGTCCATTCCATAGCAACAAAATGTCAAAATAAAATGCCAAACAAGAACAATAGTCAATCAAATTCATTCATTTCGGCCCCACATCCAAAATTTTCCATTCATTTATCTTCGTTAGGCAATAATAAGTAAAAACAAAAACTAAACTCCAAAAAAGAAAAAATGGGCTTCTGTTTTCCCTATCCCAGTTTTCCTTGGTATTCCTGCTACTACTCATGTGGTTGTCCTCCTTGCGGTCCTGCATGTTGTTATTCGTGCTCCGCTGTCTATAAAGTACATTGAACAATCAATAGAAAAACACAAATAATATTACAAACGAAAAAATAACCTGTCCCAAAAATTATATTGCGAATAAAAAAGCATGCTGTAAAATTTAGGTAGGTGATTTAAATTAAATAAGTATTTATTTAACTCATTATATTTCCATTTGTTGAAGCAATCAACGATTAAACTAACATTAATGTAAAATTAGAAAAGTATGTAATACAAATTCTTGAACCGTTATTGCAATTTAATTGATGTTTAAATTTCTTATTTATGAATCAAGTGTCTCTTTAATTATTGTATTCTATCATTTCTTATATACGATTTACCTACTCTAGATACCTACCTACATCTTATGACCTGAGTAATCCTCTATTCTTGGGTTATTTATAATTTGTTCACAAGAAGTTAATACAAAAATATATTTATACAAAAACACAGGTACTTCATCGATCCCAATTCATAATAACGATCAACCAGTTCTGCCGGTTTTAAATATATTATTAGAAAAAGGCACAAAGACATGGTAAAACCATAATTTTGCCCGTTTGAAACAAACAACTAAAATGAAGCAAACACATCAACATTATTTGGCTAAAATTTAAACGGCAGGAAATTATGTATATTATTAGCTTTGCGTTCTTTTTTATAGATTTAATAGAAACCCTCAGGGTACTGGGTTATCCCAATCTAGTATCAATGGAAAGCTTCAGGTCACCTAACTTTCCCCTAGTAGCTGATTTATTGATCTGGCTTTCGAAGAGATTCGATCCTGAAACTGAAATAACGCCTGATATTTCATCTGAAGACGATCGAGTCAAGCTGATTCGAAACGTTGCCGAGTTCATGGTATGTTAGAAGGGAAAATAGTGCCAAAAAATAAATATTGTTAAATTTAGTAATGAGATTGCCGTTCAGTTTTGTTTTCAAACCAGAGGGTAGCTATGAAAAGTTGATATATTTCTACTAGATGTGTTTAATATTAATACATTACCTAATTAACATAATTTTAATAGGAATCAATGTTTTTTTTTATTACTAGAAGATATCATTATTTATCCAACAGTAATGCAACATATGGAACGCATAATATTTGTATATTTGTATAGTCTGAAAACAAGCACATTTTTGTGTTTATTTTAAATTTTATCATTGATTGTTTTAAGTTATTAACTTCGATTTCAGGCTGTGAAAGCAAATATAAGATTGAATACAAAAAGACTGTACCAAGCTGACGGTTACGCAATCAAAGAACTTTTAAAAATAACCAAAATTCTCCACGAAGCCCTTTTGAGTAATCTTGAACAAGATGACGATGATAATTTGGATGAAAACGTTTTAGATTTTAGAGATTTCGATGTTTCTGATAAGGTATCCGAGTTTTGCTTTGTAGATTCGAAGAAATAAAAGCCCAAGCTTTATTCTTATTGTTTTAAATTTTAGGTCAATGAACTGAAATTTTCTAGACAATTAGCTACAGAAATAACTTCATCTGGGTCACATTTATTCGACTTACTCGGAAAAGAAACGGATCTAAAGGTAAGTATATATAAAGAAAACTATATATTATAACAAATATATTTTTATTATCCAAGGGCAACTAGTTTCGGTCAATTTCATCATCATCATCAGGCATTATAAGTGGTTTATAAACGACGAACATTCTTAGAACTTCTTTGGCAGCTTAAAACTCCAGGACAACGTTCTTACATTGTTGAAAAAACATTCCTGTGATATAGGACTTTCACTCAACCATTCGTGCGTCTAAACTTATTAGATTCTCGTTACCAGTAGACTATTTTTCGACTGGTTGGACTCTCATACCGATACAAGAATCGCTGAACTTTAATCATATAGAGGTTTCTGGATCATCTATCAATATGGTACATGATTCATGCTAGACTCCATTTATATAATAAGACTCTTACCTGTCTCTTAAACCCAATGACATTTCATCTTTTTTTTTTCTAACAAAGTAAGGTAATGATGTTCTAGATATTTAAGTTGCCAAAGAATTTTTGCCGTTTGTTAACCACTTTTAATATCTGATGATGGTTAAATTTACCGAAACCAGTCCCTTTATAATAAGAAATGTATTCCCTTAACGGACGTATCACATTTAAGATACGGATAAGTTATTGGCTGCGTTCATCCGCGCCACATGCTACCTGATCGATTTGGTAGCGCTCTCGAGTGGCACGTATGAACGGTGTATTTTGACATTTCGCTCAAGGAGCGGCCGCCATTAAAAGTAGCGCATTTTATTTACGCTGATTGGTGATCACTGATCTGTCTTACGCACTTACGTCCACGGTTTGCTTGGTGACTAGTAGGGTTATATTAGCAATTGAAAAATAAACAAACCACAAATAAAGAAACAAATCTTCAACCAGAGACATTCAACTCAAAAGTAAAACGAATAAACCACAATCAAATGTCACTTTTAAACATGGTTCATCCGTGCATAAAGATCGATCAGGTAGCGTAAGTGATCGCTACTTTTGTAGCGCTCCTTGAAATGGCGCGGATGAACGCAGCCATTGTTCTTTCAGAGTTCCCAGCTTAGTATTTAACTGACATTTTTTATAGATTGCCCGACATAGAAGTATTGCAAGACAATTTGAACTATCGGAAGTCGAATCAGGTATAAAGGAAGCCATTAAAGTCATAAATCAAGACATTTCGGAAACTAAACAGTTAATTGAAAATGTTGCTGCTACAGAGGCAAGCTTGGATTCAAAAATAGAAAAAAGAAACGTAGAGATTGGCCGTTACGAAAAAAGATTGCAAGCACTAAAAAAAGTCAGGTATGTATTTTTTAAATGTATAATCATTGTTCACGAGTCAATAGATATTTAGTCCCCCATCTGACTGCAAAAAGTGTTTTTTGCTTGCTATTTGTAGTTGAGTACAGGAGAGGGGGGTGAACAACATGTACTATCTCCTGATGGTAGATACAGTCGTGTAACCTCTCAAATTAAAAATATTGTTTCTTATCGATGGATTTTTTTCGTTTTTTGCTGTCAATTAAATAATTTGCTTCTAAAAGTCTATAACAATAAAAAAATCCCTTTACAAGCATTTGTCCGATTTTGCTACTTTGGGTGTAAGTGCAGGAATTCGCCAACATTTACTGAGAAAATGCTTAAATTTAAATGAATGGACCTTATAAAGAAACGTCGCCATAAATATATTCAATATGTTGTCGATGCAATGGTATTACGGTAGGTACTATATAAGATTTCCCCCTTCTCACTGCGAATTCAATCCTATTGAACTAATTTAAGGGGAAGTGAAAGGGTTTGTAGGTCGAAAAAATAATACATTTAAAATAGCTGACGTTCCAATATTTATTAAAAACCGGTATAGAACGCATAAAACCTGAAGATTGGCAGAATGCTATTTCCCAGGAAAAAAAATATGTGGCGCTTGACAATATGTTTGAAACGGTAGTTGAGTCTTTAGCCATAACTTTAAGTTCAGGATAGCTATTCACTAAGTCATGGGAGTGTTCCCATATATTTTGCTCTCTTACTCTTAGGTGGGTATATCGTGCTTACTCACTTTTAGCCCAGGTACATGCGTAGTTAGGTCGGAGTAAGCACTATATACCCACCTAAGAGTAAGAGAGCAAAATATATGGGAACACTCTCCCATGGGAGCGCTCCCATGACTTAGTGAATAGCTACCCAGACGATAAAGACGAACCCCAGTGATATTTAGGCAGAATCAATGGATTACGATACTTTATAAGTTCAAAAGACAAGTCGTGATGGCTTAATTTACAGATTTTCACAATAAACAAATAAAATTATAAATAGATTATTATTACAAATTCGTAATCTCACATGTAAAAAATTGAAAAAACTATTATTATTATTACTAATAATAATAATAGTAGATAACCAACAACCAACCTACTTTCATCTATTAATATTCACTAATGTCCTATTTAAATATTGAACATGCCAATATAATGTTTCTACTCCACTGGCACAAAGCATTTTGGCAATGAACATGGGCGAATGACAAATATGGCACGTGATACCGATAACTTCTGCAATCATATTGCGCGTGATATTCATTACGCACCGGCATTGGGTGGTACAAAACTGATGGAAAGCATATACCTTTGATCGAAATCATTTGATCGAAAAAACATTTTATCGAATAACTGTTCGAAAAGAAACATGATCAAAAAGAAAAATGATCGAAAAGAACAATGATCGAAACGAAAATTGATAGAAAACAAATTTGATAGAAAAAGCAATTGATCGAAACCAAATATATATAAAATTAGAAAAAATAAAAAAACTTAACTAATTCACCTAACCTGTGCAGCCTAGAGCCATTACTGGTTGCTTCGCACAAAATATACAAGAAATAAAAAAGCTAATTTACCTAACCTGTGCAAGAACTGTCAGTTAAGTTTAAATGCCTCGAGGCCGCACAGGTTCGTTAAATTAGTTAATTTTTTTTTCTCATTTTTATATTTTTTTTTGAGAAGCAACCCTCGACGCACATGATAAGTAAATTAGTTGAGTTTGAGTTTTTTATAAAAAAAGACTTAACTAATTTACCTAACCTGTGCGAGAGGAATCAGTAAAATTTAAATAGCTCCGGGTTGGACACACAGATTAGATAAATTAGTTTAGTTCTTTTTATTTTCTCATTTTTGTATTTCTTTTTTTGTAAAGCTCGACGGCCCTAGGCCACACAGGTTAAGTACATTGGTTAAGGTTTTTTAAATTTTTCTCATTTTTGTATAACTCTTTTAGGAGGCAAACCTTAAAGGCTCCAGGACGCACAGGTTCGATTAATTTGTTAAGTATTTTATAAAAAAAAAATAATTTACCTAAAATTTCCCATCAGGAGACAACTAGAGATTGCTGAAATGCATATTTTGTGCGAATTAATCACAATGCTTTAATCTCAATGACGATAACTAATCGTTCAGCTCTGAAAATAACAGCTTTGTCGCTCTAAAAAACAAATTGATTCAAAAGATCTTTTGTTCTGACGATTTCGTGCGGGTTCTGAAGAACAATTCGTTCGTAATATAATCACAACTGTTTATTACTGTGTATTTGATTTTTTTTTGGGACATGTTCTGACGAGTTAGTCCGAACGCCAGTTCGTCAGAATACGTATCCACTACGAGTATAACTATAGCCTTAGACACCTACACGCTATACCTACCGTCCCTATATACCAAAATTTCAGAAAATTTGACGGAAAGGACTATCTTTCCATAAGAAAGTACCTGAGTTATTTCCTGGTCCATTCTGATGGGTACTGTTAGTGTGCTGGCCAACTTCGGTGGTTATACCTGGTACCTGTCAATAATCAGACAATATTCTTTTATATGTATCAGGCCAGCCTTCTTGGAAGAATTCACAGCTCTGGAAAAGGAATTGGAAGAACTTTTTGTCCAATTTTCATTGCGATTGAGATGTTTAAATTTACTTGAAAAACAATTCAACGATTCCGAAATAGTGCAAATGGAAAAACAAATTGAAATAGGAGTGCCCCAAATAACAACTATTCCACTGGAGAAAATGGACGAAAGTGACATATTTTTGGAAAAGGGTGATAATATGAACATAGATAGAAGTGGGGCGGTTAATAGGCACGAAAGGCAGAAAGCTGCAACTGCCAGTAAGTTGACTTCATTTTTAAATTTTATTTATCAATAATGTTGCTTGTTTTAATTCAAAATTTAACATACATTATATGGGGTTATAGGGTGGCGAAAAAGATGTTCATTTTTCATTCAATACCTTTATTAAAAAAAAAAAAATTAAAATCAAATACCGTTTAATATAAATTAGTCATATTTTCAAAATAACGTTTTATTTTTAGACCACTATTTAATACGACCCTGTACTTTTTATTTTTTATTTTAATTTTTACTACAATTTTTTGACAATAAACTGTACTTCTGGAATCAATTTAGGAGAATACTCAATGGACCTAGTGAGGTCCTCTACATATTGAGAGATACAGATGGTCTTGAAATATAAATCTTTTTTTCCATTAGATCAATTTTGTATCTTGCAATGGTTGTCGAACCCATAAAGTTTTAATTGAATTTCTACCATCATATAAGTATATTTAATTTTTTTAGCACGAAATAAATTAGAAAAAGAATCTACCAAAACGCAAGGAAATATGCAACCAGCATTATTTGGCAGCCAGTCATCTTTAGATCTCAGCTCGGATTCGGACGACTTGTTCTTAGATAAAGATGAACCAGAGTTGATGCATTCAGACGAATCGCTGGCTCTGGAACTGTCTACCGTTGACCGAAGAGCTCCATCTGGAAGGCTACAAAGCAGTAAACTTCAGGATAGTGATGACGATTTTTAAAACGACTTGTATGGTTTAGTTATTAAAATTGTGTAACAAGAATTGGTTCTTCATTAACTTGTGTAATTTTTCAAACTGCTAAATGACACTTGCAATATTTACTAAAAAGAAATGCTTATGAAGACATGCCAACTTTTTTGTTTTAATCAGATATTAAACATATTTTGGTTGTCCCTCCGAATTAAAAGACCTTCGCCCAATAAAATAAGAGTGCTCCCACACTAGCTAAAAATTTAGAATGGGCAATCGAATTACAAATAAAATATTAAATCAATATACTACTTTACCAACTGTTCAATCTGGATTGCAGGATTTAGTTGCGAGATAGCACTACTCAACATCACAGACGATATATTAACTATTAGATTACAGTAAAGCCTTTGATGTAATTAACTATAGGAATTGTTATGCTATATTTAATTTCGTTAGTCTAAGTCGCAATGCAGTAAATTACTTTTTAAATAGAACAAAGAGATCGCTACAAAGGTCAATTATCAAGTTATGGCTTTATCACAATAGGAGTACCCCAGAGTTCAATACCGGGCCTTTTATTAAATTCGATTTATACAAAGCAACATCTCAACTGTTCAAAATGATCATATGAATGAAAAAATGTGGTCGAAGTGACAAAAGTTTTCGATCGATTGATGGATGATGTTACTAAAGATACTTCACTACATTTTCATGGAGAAAATCCTTGTCTGGTATTACCCAATATTTTTTAATATTAAATACTACTTTGGTATACACAGTAATATTAAAAATGTAATGTTGATCCTTAAAATTTTAAATAATTTATCTTATTAATTATACTCATGATTAACTTTCATGTTAGTGTTTTTACAATTATTAATAGTTGGTTGGCATAATTAATTAGAATAGAGTTATAATTATCGTTTGTTTTCATTAATTTTTTACACAGTTAATATGTATTTAAACCTAACCTCTCAATCACCACACTTTATTTTCCTTGTTCCGAACGTCCACGTCACTTCAAGGCCCTTTTTAATTGCTCACAACTATGCGCTTCCACAGAGTTTTAAAAATGTAAATCACCATCAACGATTTTTTCTAATGATTGATTTGTATGTAGAGATAATATTGCTTTTCCAGCCATTGTTGATCAAAACAGTACGAAACTTTTGAATTGGCGCTATTTCATCATGGCGGCTGCGCTTGCGCTCATCACATGATGGAAAGGCCTATTATAGGTACCTTAGAAAAGTTTCGTTGGCTCAATATGAAAAAAGATGCATTTTACACTAACTTGCAAAAAACGAAATGAATGAATTCCTGGAGGAACAAAAATGTAACAGCTGCAAATTTGATATCATTTTCATTTCAATATTTAAGATCTAAAACTAAATTTGCAGCCACTTTGGCAAAGTAATTATTTGCTATTAACATTATCTTTTTGTGTCGTACCGGTTTGGAATGTTTGTTCATTAAAATTTCAGAACTTATTTCGTAACAAAATCAGAAATAAGCCGTTAAAACCATTCAGCAAAGTTGTTAGTTTGTATCAGAAACAGCAATCTCCAGATTTGACAACAAAAGTAGCAAAGACTGTTTCAGCCAATAACAAGCAATTATACCACTAAACCAGTATGGTAGCTGTAGTCGGTTTGTAACAACACATGCATAGTTAATTACTGTTTCTTTAGTATATAATAAAAAAATAATAAGAATTTAGTGAAAATTCAAAAAATGAAGGTATCTTGTACTCCTGTAGATAAAAAACACGCAAGAAAGTGTGTTAGAAATGCCAAAAATTGGAAAGCAAATAAGACAAATAACAATTGGGATAAGCTAAATTTGTTCCAGGACCGCAATTAATAAATCTATATTGACAATAAGAAACACATAAATTCCTACATTAAGTATACATAATAAGTTGGTGTGTATAATATTTTATTGATATTTTGTATATTGTAAAGATTTTTTATTGGTGCGATTAAAAAAATTTAGCAGAATAAAAACTTTTAAATTGTTACCGGCGGAACCGGACAATCGCATGTATTTATGAACTAGAAATAATTATTAAACAAGTATTATAATATTCCAAAATACCATCTACAAAATTTCAACAGCTATTTACAATTTACGAAACTACCCGAAATTGTTATTACAATCTATAAAATAATTTTGTACGCCAATGTTTCGCGTCCACTTCAGTTGCCTCCGCTGCAAAACTGTCAATTTCTGTGTGTGTAGTGGGAGAACTGCTAAAAGCCTTTCTAACTTTTGTCCCTGCTATTCCCTAATAACACCGATCTGCCAGAAACATCTCATTTAGGTTCCATGTATGTTTCTATGTTTCTGACATAAATGGTACGTCCCTACGATGTTTCTAAAGAAACGTTTCTGGAATGATTTCTCAAGAATGTTTTAAAAACATCGTAATTATGTTTTAGGTATTCTATTTTCGTTTTAATTATTTTGAAATATCAATATATTATAAAATTTAGAATCATATCAAATTCCAATATTAAAGAACATTTTGAACAATATTTTAATTTCACAAGAAAACTGCTACAGGTTCAATTTATTAGTTCCTTCAAAAAAGAGTGCAAAGCAAATACGACAGAGATGAATATACCCTTCCTTCTGGCTCAGCAGGAGAGTTCGGTTAATCCTCCGCGAGCTAAAAAAATACACTCTTGAAGGAAGTTCTCGTGATGGAATCTATTTTTTTGCATTGAAAGTGTAGCACTGAGCTACAGTACTTATAAAAATATCGTTCCATTTACACAAATTGTATGGATGGAACGATATTTTCGATGAAAAGGAATAAACTTCATATTTGATTTGCTCGCGGAGTATTAACCGAACACGTCTACCATCAATTGACAACATTGACATATGGCAGATAGTTCATTAGTGTTGACAGTTGAAAATAAAAAGGTGTTTCGCGTCGCTTATGATAAAGTTTGGAAAAGTTTAATAGTAATAAACAACTTCTCTATAAACTTTTAAATAAACTAAAAGTGATAATAGGCGGCCGGATTGACGTGTATAGTTTGTATGTAAAGCTACATGAAAAATCACTTCCAATTCGAAGTTTGATCAGGCTTGGCAAAACGTGTGTCTTTTTATCCAACTGTTGCAGCAACGTTGGCATCGGTGCGGTATGTCAACTGTTATTTATTTCAACGGTCAACCAGAATCCAACACAAAACGTTCAAGGCCGCATCGGTGAAACAACGGTTGCAACAAACCGGTGGAAAAAAAGACACACGTAAATGTAGAAACAATCGTTTTACGTTCAAGATATTCAAGCCAAAATGAAGAAGGTAACTTAATTTCCTTTAACAAAATGTGGCTTTTATACATTCTAGTCATTATTTCTTTGTTAACTTTAAAAATAACTATTTTAGGTATTGTATTTTGAAAACCAAGGTACCAATAATGTGTGTGAATTTATTAGAAGATGCATAGTTCCCCTCAAGGAACGAGTTGTGTAAGTTGTTTTCATTCACTGGAAAAAAGGAAGACGCCAAGTTAAAAATAGCTGAAACCATTATGGGTAATTATTTTAACCTAATATCAATTGTTTATATTATCACTTAATTGAAACATTTTCAGATTCGGTAAATTGGTAAACAAAAAAGAAATGGAAATTAAAATGGATGACTAGTTGTGGAGAGCTCCGGAAAGAAATAGACGCAATGAATCAGAGCGTAATAATTAACATTTTTTATCTTTTGTGTCAAAAAAATATTTTTTTTTTTTAAATAAATTATGAAAAAGTAATAATTTGATTATCCTACTAAAAAACGTTTAGGTCATTTCTAGAACGTTCCAGCAATAGTACAAAAAACTTACCTAAGATGTTTGAGCAACATCGCAGGATGTTCCACAAACGTCTCTAATACGTTACAAATGATGACATGGTCATTGCCAGAAACGTCTCAGATACGTTTGAGGGGGAATAAGAAACATGACAGAGACGTTTCTAATGTCCCAAGGGTATGTTTCTGGAACGTTCGTGTAACAATACTGTGCTATTAGGGTTGCCACGTTTGAGAATCCACATCGGATGCATCTGAGATGTAGTAAATCTTTGATCACGTGATTCAGTATACGTAAATGTAATGGGACAGATGTGTCCGATGTGGATAAAAAAACGCTTGAGATGTAAAAAATGCATCCGATGTGGATTCTCAAACGCGGCATATGTCCCCACGCAGCCAGACGGCCTTTTACTGCCAACGTTGTTTAGTGTAGTTTCCTGCTTACACTGATAATAAAAAAGTTTTCCATTTGTGGTCAACTTTAAGGGACACATGCCTATAAGACTTGCCTATAAGACTTATTGTCCCCCTGCAAATTTTTTGGACAATATAAAAAACATTTGTTTCTATTTTGTGAGCGAAAAACTGTGTATCATAGAAATAGTAGTTTGTAGTCCTGGATGTTTTCACACCCCAGTTTACTATTATAAACAGCAATCTCCTTTCATGAACAAATCATATATATCAAGCTCCAACCTTAAATATCAAATACAGCAAACTCCAATATATATATAGCCAATTTAAAATATTATACAAAATCCTACAGCGATTTTGTTTGCAATTTACATAAAATAATTTATTTACACACTTAAAAGCTAAAACAGTAATTTTATGTAATGCCCGAATATCTTTTAAATAGTTTTGGTTGTGTAGTGGAAAATTTAGTAAAGTGGACTTTGCTACAATTGATATTAAGAGGCCTGATTTGATCTCATGTAGCAAACAATTAGCATGCTTGCAAAATCACAGTATACTGGCTAATGGGGTCTATTCTGTAACAATTATTCCTTTATATTTAACGGCCTTTAAAAATATTTTCTTCTTTACTTCTGTCATTATTTAAACGGATCTTTAAAATACATTAGAGGACTATCTTAAGACCACAGTACCACCCCCAATATTCGTAACATGAACTAATTTTGATAGATGTCATTTATGTGTCATAAATTAAGAATCCTTTTGTTCAGCAGATGGAGCAATATTCCATATTTAATAGTTCTTTTGTTCAACAGATGGCGTAATAATTTTATTAATTTTAAACGGTAACTGTTATAAAATAACAAATTCATCACGCCTAGCTACCTCGCGATAATAAGTAAACGAGTTCTT